AATTATTTAATGATGTAGAAATATGTAGTAAGTAAAAAAAGAAGCAATTACAATTTTGTGTCTCAATAACACAATAATTTATGTCAAATGCAAATTTTAATCAATTATTATGAAGCCTATTAACAAAATTGTATATAATTGTAATGTAAGTTTCTGATTGATTTATACAATTATTAATTTTCGTCATTCCTCGATTGGACCTCACGCTCGTGCAAACCGCGCAAATTAAAAAAAGAGAAAAGAAAATAACGCGGGGAGGAATTATCGCTGCTCCTCTTCGCGATGGCATCGATCACCTTGAGATTTCCCGCTCGACAAATTTGTGATGATACGAGGACGAAGCGACAAATTCAGATCGTCGTCGCACGTGTTTTTAATCAGTCAAAAACAGGAAAACGCAAGAACTTTCACTTGCGCTGGCAGTGTTTTTTTTTCTCTCTTCAAATGACAATTCGCACAGAAAATCTTCTTGATCTAGTATACATATAATGTATACATATTGTTAGATATTAGTAGATACAGAAATAGAAAGTCGGAAAATCTCCCCTCCGATGACTATAATACAATAAACTCACAATAGAATAGTCATATTGCTTTATTGTAATTATGTTCGAAATTTTTTATGTTTATTAACAATCAGGATATTACTTTGAGATGTGACGATGAAATTCGCTTTGTTTCATTGCTAGTAAAGTCTTTTGTAATAACGAGTCGCATGTAATAAGTGAGTATAAATAATAATTACGATGATGATTTCTGGCTGCCGCGAAAAAAAGAGAGATCATATCAGCAGGCGTAAAAAGCAATGGACTTATTTATAGCTTCGACTTTGTTGAAATAATAAACATTGGAGTATGTAAACATTTCCCCCATCGGTGTAGAAATGAGTTTGATAACTAACGTCGTTGATTCAGAGAAACTTCTCCAAAGCAATAAATGAGATTTGTTTGAGCGCGAAAGATCACTCGAAAGAGGTAACACATTAAGCTTCGGATGTGATTAACGATATAATTATTGTGTAAAGTTGTCGAGAGTGTAGAAAGGTCTTCTTCATGGAAACCAATCTTCACGAGTAATAAATATTATTGAACTAGTCAATGTTTTTTTTCAAAATCTTTGAAAAGATAAAAAAACATATGTATATATTTTGATATGGTACTCATCATATCAAAATTTTTACCTTACTCGACACAGCGTTAGAATATATTAATCCTTAAAAAAGGTTTATACAAAACTTCGGGAGCGTGTATAGGGGGGATCGATAAATTAAGAAAAAAGTCTTGTAGAGATATGCTCGTTTTTGCTTCGGTTTGGAGAAATATACATAAGATTGAGATTATTTTTATATATATCACGTATCATTTATCTTCGATTTAGCACGTAGTTAAAATTAATGCAAATTCAAATTTAAATGTTTCACGGTTTTCGTGAAATTTGTGTGTCGAACCTTCATTATTATGTCGGCTTCGTCTTTACTCGAGATTTTACTCACTTTAATGTAATAGTATCAAATTGTCTAAAACGTTTTGTTATAAAACGCAGACGATAACATGAGAAAAATGTTGAAATTGGTGATTATCGAATTTTTCCAAATAACTAATTTATTACAATAGTTTGCCACTCCTCACTCTGTGCGAAAGAAAATGAAGAGGTTCGTGTACAGACGTAATAATCGGAATATGTAGAGATCCTTAAGAAAGAGATCGAATACCATACGATTGATTGATCTGTTATATTTTTCAAGACGCACGGTCTATTTCATTCTATTTTAAACGGGTCATGAAAATATAGTTAAACGTAAGATGTCCAATCTTTTACATACTTGGATCTCTAAGAATACATGAATGTGCACTCCGCCCGAACACGTCGCTTTGTCTTCGTCCTTCACTCGTCGCTTCGTTTCGAGTAGATCGTTGCTATTCAAGATTCGACTATACGATATACAACATAATAACAATTAGCAATAGCAGCAGCAGCAGTAGTTGTAACAGTAATAGTCGTAGTAATAATAGTAATAATATGATAGTAATAGTAGTAGTAGTAGTATAGTAGTACCCTATGAAAAAAAAAAGAAAAAAAAAGATACATAGAAAAACACGGTGTCGGTATACTATATCTATACGCATAATTTTTATCACGTTTTTTTTTTTCGTTTTCTCCACTCTTCTTCATATGGAACGTGCCTTGTACGACATATCGTGCAAGACGTAACATTAGGAAGAAAACCGAAGCGAGGGGAGGGTGATGGGAGACAGGAGAAGACGAGGACGATGAGATGGGAACGGATGGACATTGATGAATTCTTAATTCGGTAACACGAACGTTCCAAGTCCCTTCGTCGATCCGTATTCGTATCTTATTTGATCGCGTGTGTATCTTATTTATCCACGTAATTATTTTATTAATACGAAACGAGGCTGTGTATACGTGAGCTTTGTAGATGCGTTAATGGGATACGAATACGGGAGCTCGATCAAAGTAAATGCGATGCGTCTAATTTTTTCTCTCGGTATTTTTCTCTTCTTCATTAAAGCTTATTCTACATAGAACGCAGAACGCAAAAGTCGCAGGTCGCAACATTCCGATCGTAGTAGACTACACGATGCAAAACGCAGGACGCATCGAAGTTTGGGTAAACTTCGACTTTTACGTCCTGTATCGATGCGATCACTCACGATCAATGATTTTCATGTGATGTATATAACATATTTTTAAAAAGTGTCATAAATGGGATACCGTAATACTCGAGAGTTAATTTATTAAGTAAGAAAGAATGTAACTTACGTCTCTCCTTATTCTCATTTTGTATATTTCTTCGTTCACAATTCTTTTTGTTAGATTGAATGATAGATTGCTCACTACGAATCTGTATAGACTACATGGACGCAAAGCTTTTACGATCTGTGACTTGTGTTTTACGTCCTATTTAAGATGAGCTTAAGACAGTATGCTTGCCCGCACGTACGCATGTACCTTACTCTCTATCTCTCCCGATCCATCATTCCTTCCTCTTTCTGTACTTACACGCAAAAATTTCGCATATGATCGACGTACAAGCACACAAACACATGCATACATTTGTTACAAACACAGGACATACACACGTTAGTAGAATGAAGCCTCGGTAATGCTCACCGATGTTCGCTTTTTTTACACGTATCGTGCGCAATTCGTCACGCATCACATCCTCATTCATCTCTTAAGATTGATTCATCGAAGGAAATAAAATTGATAAGGAGAAAAACGGTGAGCAAAACCGAACGCGTGGTTAAATCGCTCGTTCTTACGTTCTCGGTTAATATTGTTGCCGTACAAAAGGGAAGGGCACGTGGGTTTGTCGCGGAGCAAGGAGAGGTCACGTCGGTCATTAGACGGCGAGTACCATTTCCCGTGTCCATTTTCGAGCTTGGTTTCGTACACCTCTCGTCTCCTTAGAACGCACGATTACGGTAACGGTAATATGAACCGCGGCGATGTACATAATCCGTCACACGTGTAATACTCCACTTGTACAGTACGCCCGATCGATGCCGATAAGATACAAACGCTCCTCGGAAACTCGCAATCGTGTTTCTTCTTCGTCTTATTATCTAACACAACCGAACGAATTGTTCCTAAAAACTAGACGTACCATCTTCTCCTTACGCGCCCATTGTACTACGTTCTGTATGATCGTTTAACTAGAACTTCTTAGCGAAATAATGACGACCTTGATGTTCTATCACCGTGCCATAAATCGACGCGAAATCGCTTCAGCGAGACCAAGAAAGAGATCATATATACCATCTCCGATAAAAATTCTCTCGGAAAATAACTCGTAAAAATGCTTTGCGACTTTTTTGTTATTCTCTTGGACACGAATAATTCCCTGATGCCTATTTTTATCACCGACCCGGCTGGAGCAACGACACTCCAAGTTTAGGACACTACACTATGTTTCAGTGGTTTCGAACACGTAAAATTTTAATTGCGGCTGGATTTATTGGCTTTTCCCCATAATTTTCTCGACACTAAGACGAAGCTATATCTCCGTTTGTATCTTTTGAAAACATCGTATCTATTTTGTGCAAAAATTCGTGATAGCTTTACACATGTCAGTTTCTCGATTATCGATGCATCTGGTTTATGTACACGTTGCGACTTATACAAAAAAATATTCTACATTTATACAAATGTATTCGGCTAAATGGAGCAGAATACGATAATATTAACACGGAATCATATTGGTTCTCGTGGCTGCCTCGTGAAAATCGAACGATAATCTCGCCAAGTCAATTTCATTAACAGATAATTACATAAGTCACTAAGATGGACTTACGTAACATTAAACAAATTTAAGCTTTTAGAAGTTACAGAGGATACATGTAAATTTACAAATAGAATATACGTACTATTGTAGTCGAGAACAATTTATATATATATTTATATATGTATATGACGTATACGGAATACTACGATTTTTAATATATCCTCGCAGTTTTCCGTTACGACGCGCGTTCGCACTTCGTTACTATCTGACAAAAGCCGCTACCATTTGGAAACGATTTATAATCACGCTACCGAACTTCGATGAATATAATTTGCTTTACTCGTACAGAAGTGTCTTGTAGTTTATACACACATGAATGGTATTTATGTGATACGAATTCAAAGGAAGCAAAGCTGGCCAAGTTTGACCATAGCTCGTCACATTATTGTAAAAGCCGTGAATGTGTCGTCCAAAGTACGCTTATGCTGTTATACATGTATATTATGAACAACTGCGAGAATCCATCATCGAAACCTAAAAAAAAAAAAAAAAAAAAAAAAAAAAACGATCGCGTTTCGCCATCCTGCGCGCAGAAGACGCGAGGGGTTCGGTGATTTTTAAGCGTCGTTATGTCCTCCTCAACGTCGCCGTTGAGAGGTGTTCCCCAGACAGAACTGGCTCCGATTGCAAGAAAGAAGTTCTAGTGGACTCGACTCACGTGACTGCCGAATCTCCTGAGAATCACGCCGCAATAAGAAGCTGCTTCGTTACGTCTTGAAAACACGATGAAACGTTGCTGGCCACGTCTTGTTATTATAATTCGCCTCAACGCCGTGTTTCCGTTTTCGACACGTGCACTAAGGAACAATTTCTCCCTTTTTATCCTTTCGTTTCATCCTCTTGGCATGGAACTGTCGCGGTTGTTTCCATCGCCTGCACTTTCACGGACGTCGTATATGTCGAGAGCACCACCATCAGCACGCGCCAGTCTTATTATTGATGATCTTCGAGATATCGTGATATGGAAAAGTCGGTCACCGTTCACCGAATGGCCTTGCGATATCATACGCAAATTCACTTCCAGCTCGCGGTAATGGATGGGAAAGCGTTGTGCAGACAACGGTACTCGCCAGTCGCCGCTTCCGACGAACGACGCTGCTGGTCGTTGCGATGACGATAAGTCCGCTATTGCTGCTGCTGATTCACTTGTTGTGTTGCACGCTTGCCCGTCTGACCATCAGAGTGGGTGGGACGATTGCCGTCGCATTGGCGCTTCCAAAACAAAAGATACACAAAACAGCGACATTAGCGCGTCACCGTCTTCACCACATAAATGAGCTAAAGGTTTTCCTTCCCTCTCTCTTTTTTTCTTTTCCGGCGCTCCTTCTCTCGTTCGTTACATCTAATCTCCCCAGTTTCGCTTTTACTCGGCTCCTTTTGTCTATGATTTCGTAATGTGAGATTGAACAATCAACTGGAATTAGCGAGACAATGACGTAAACTGAATAAAATTAATTATCCTATATGATACAATGCAATGTAGTTATAGCGAGGATATAAAATGTATAAAAAGAAATGTTAATAGCAAATCTCAGAAGAAACAATCTTCATTAAAATATTCGTTGTTCTTCCTTTCAACATGTCTCTCCTCCGAAAACACGTTTCATCATTTAATCTGTTTCGATTTATGATCGAGAGATATTATCGAATGAAGATGTAATGTAAGAGTCACTTGTGTTCTTCGTTTACCGCTAAATTATACTGATATTACAAAGCTCTCTCGTTAGCGCAAGATTCTTAACGGTGTGAATAAATTGATGATACCGACAAGCTTGTGAGGAGGAATGAACTTGGAGAGAAGGCTCGCACGCGATGAAAGTTTTCTCCATGATCAGAGTTTTTCATGATCGGCGTCCTCTACCGTGGCACAGGAGAGAATTTCGTTCCCTCTTTGTCTATTTTTGTCATTTAGAATTAGTGCGATAGCTTTCGGTTACCTGAAAAAAAGTCAACGAAAAAACATAAAGCGGAATTTTGGTGAATTTCGATACCGAATAGGTTTTCGTATCTATGTTTTAATTAGATTGCAAAACAGATGTATCGAATGCTTGAAAAAATTCAGAACGTTAAAACGTGCACGTTTACATGTACAGTTATTCGAAAGGATGCCCCCACACAACACGCACTAAATTAACGTTAAAGTATTATTTAAAAAAAATATTGATTTCAGTCACACAATTAAGAAAATAAATATATGACTCTTAAGATGTAACTTTTGTGACAGATGTCAAATTTGCATTTTGCCTAAACTTTAGATACAAAAAATCGTAAACATTTTGATGTTCATTAGTATGTTATATAAAGTTGTGTTTGAAAGTGGAACATTGTTCAGAGTAAGCAAACATTTAGCGCCTTCTAGAAATTACACATTTTTTAATAAATTTTATTGACGACCATTTAATTCTTAATTTTTATACTGAATACTTTTTTAATTTGCATGAGATACAATCCTATTATTAATGTCACAACATACCGATAATATATGATAAAATATTATAAAATGAATTTTTTAAACACAATAATTACAGTTTATAAAAATGTTGTTTTTTTTTAAGTATAATGTCCCATATTCATTAAACAATAATAGCAACAATTTTTATTTTTGTGCAATATTTGGCATCCCAATAATATCAAGTATAACTGGATTTGAATCTAACAATTAAAAAAATTATTTAAAAATTATTTCTTTGTCAAAAAAGTACATGCGATAGCCTCAAAATTATATAGTAGACCAGGCCACAGGCAATTAGAGAAATGTTCTTCGATATAGAAATTATATTATGCGTTGCATATTTTTTAATATTAGTCATTGTTAATCATATTCTAATGTAATTTTTTAAAAAACTTTTAACTAAGATGGAAATAATTATTCTAAATTATTTAAAAAACATACTTTTGAGATCTTAATTTAGAAAATAAATATCCCGGCATCGTAAAAAATTATAGGAACTTATATAGTTATTTTCATCTTTTTCATCTGCATGCTCGTAAGAGATGGCCACATTTCTCGAAACATCTTATATTATGAAAGTGTAATTGACAGCAAGCAATAGTAAGTAATAGTAGCTTCTAATTTTCATTTGGAGAGAATGCTTGTAAGTTATATAAATATAAATATAATATTCTTGATGTTTTTTTTTTACTCAATATTCGTCGTAAATCAATGGTATATACAGGATGTCTTCATTATTACGTGTCATGGACATATTCTGATAATTTTGTAAATAATCCTTCGAAGCAAAAGTATTATGAGACACTCATTTCGAAGGTTGTCACTTTTTAACTTTACAGCATTTTCATACCTAGTCTCTAAATGTGTATGTAAAAAATAAGATGTACTCTCTACTCTTACACCTCTACAAAATTAAATCTGCGGAAAAATAAATAATATTCAGTCATTTGTAATTCAAAGAATTATTTGTTTTAAAAAATATATCATTAAAAAATAATATGACGAGACATCCTGTACGAAATGTGCACATTGAGAATTCTTTCCAAATGACAAAATGTATCCCTTCATCTTCTTCAATCTCCATTTATCCTCAATTAATATAATTGAATAATTAATTAAAGTACCATGCCACGGTATTGCGACACCATCTTCCTACCAAAATTAAGCTTCCATTCAACTAACGCGTACCGAATATGTGATCTAGCGTTTGCACAAGCATAACACAAATGGCAACCTTAAAATCAGTTTTTTTATCACGCACCAATAAATCGTGAAATCTGATAAGAGCTATAAATATGTAGTGATAAAATTGAAAAATTAGAGCTTACACCATCATTAATATAATAGAAATTTGCATACTTAAAGGTGATCTTACACAGTCAAAATAATACTGTCAGAATTAACAAATACTGACAATGATCTGGAATTTGATTCTCGAGCATCAGGTACAGTTTTATTAGAATCTATATCACAATACGTCAAAGTGCGATAGATAATGTAAAAGTAAAGTGAAAATATATTGTTAATAATACTGATCGTGTAAGGTTGTAAAATATTAAAAATATTGATGCATACTATCAACATTACTGATCAGCATTATTGATCGTGTAAGTCACCTTTAGTATTATAGCCACACAAGAGCTCTATATACAAATATAGGTAGAATCGAAAACAAGCTTAGAATATAATTTTTGTCCCCAAATGTGCAATATTCATGCAACCAAAAAACGAGAGTGTAACAAGCTCTAAATATTTATCGATGTGAAGAGTTCTATATATATGAAGTGATTCTAAAATAAGTCGCCAAACATTTATTGCATAGTGTAACTAATCTGGAATTGATTTTTCTATCTTTTTCACTGTTTTTTTTAATTATTCAATTGATAGAAAACATTTGAAAAATTAAACAAAATAAAAATCTAAATCTTATTTTTAAAAAAGATACGAAATATGCTAATTTTATTGTATATTTCTACTCTTAAAAATTATAATTCCAAGGATATCAATGTTTTGATAAGAAAAACTCAAATTCAAATTGATTGAAGAAAATTACAAAATTCAGTGACCTACTTTAGCATCATTCCAAATATATAATGAGAATAAAGAAAGTTTTGTATGTTATCTATTCTAATGTCAAAACTTTCCTATTATCTGTCTTATTTGTACACTAATTACAACCGAAATAACTAACGTTTCTCGAAACAGTTAATTGTTTGTGTAAGCTTACATATTCTTCGAAAATGTCCGCGGATTTCAGTAGAGCAAGTTATACCCAGCCGTTTAGTAGATTTAGTCGTTCTATATTGTGTAGCAACTCACTTGGACTTGGGCTGCATTTCTCCTGCAGTTACTAGCGTATCCCTACGATGCAATCGCATACTGATCCTTCGCTCTTGTCCAACCGCACCCGCTGCTGAAAGAGATCATCAGAAAAAACATAATGCATGAAAAACCGCACAAGAAATGCAACCAACATTCGTGTTCTATGTATGTTCTTTCGTATCGATAACTCACTGCCATCCTGCTGTTTCTTAAAATTTGCTTTTATGGTCTCTGTATACATATTTATATATACAATTTTATATACAATGAGTCCAAAAAGTATTCGCATAAGAAAGATAAAAAGTCTTATCTTTAAAACATAAACATTAATTAGAAATTTATTAACAAAGAATAAAATAGATTGTATATTTCTTAAAATTAGTTTACCTAAAAGGAAAAATAATAAAAATATTATCTTAAAAATAAACGAAAATAAAAAATTGTATTATTTGGACGCACAAAAAGTATTCATACAGTTCAGACATTAAGAACACACAAAGCACAGAGCGCTTTTGATTACATTAGAACAAAACATACTCGCGCGCGTATCAAATTACTCATTAATTTATTTATTTACTATAAATACTTTTCCAATCTTATTAAGTTTTTTTAATAAAATATTTTCTTGTACGAATACTTTTTCATTGCATGTATAAATAATGTATACACATGAAAGCTTCCTACCGTCTCTCGATACACACGCAGCAGGATTTATACACAAATTCAAAAGCAGTCATAAGGGAGTAGCAATATTCGTTCAAAAAATTTTCAAAAAAAATTACAAAACTCGGCTCTCTTATAAACTCGCAGACATATTTCGGTCAGTACATTCAATCGTGCAAATAACTGATCGGTAATTCGAAGAGAAAAGTAGGAGGTAGGAAGAAGAAAACAATTGTAGAGAAGAGCACTCGTTATACATTGCAAAACACACGTTTTTTACAGTACGTATATTGTATTGTTATACCCACCATATGTAAATCTGCAATCTACGACTATTTTCGAGAGACAACATAATTTATATTAAAAAACCCGTAACAACAACCTAAGTGTGGATTTGAGTCTAAAATAGTATCGCTCTCTACATTACAAAATTACAATCATTTGACTGCTGTATCTAATTTTTATTATTGATTTAGATATGTAATACTTTTGTTTGTATTTATACATACAGTAATTTAAATATTTTCAATGTGAATATAATAATAGTAATGACATTGATATTTTATACAAACTTAAATTTCTGAAATTAAAATATTATTCTATATAAATTCATACAAACTAACAAAATCCGACATACTTCTTAATTGCTAATACAATCTTTCTTAATAAATATTCATAATATACATTTTTAAATAGTTTTTTTAATATAAAGCCTGAGATTTTTTAAATATATGTTTGTTTTAATTATAGATAATTCCATAATTTTTTTTATCCTCCAAAATTTTTATCATGTATACCTTGTTTAAAGAACATATTATTTTAGATTTTATTAAATTTATCAACACTTTTCAATAAAAACCATTGCAATCTTTCAAAATAATAAACAGTAATAAACAAAGTAAGATAAATTGAGAGGGGGGGGGAGGGAG